ACCACAAATAACAGCACAAATGCATTGATGTAAATAGACTGTGATGCAATTGTGGGCATTTGTTCTGATTGGTCACGACTGAACTGAATGGATTTTGATTGGCTGGACTTTTTAGTGCAACTTGAGTGAATGGGTTAGGATAAAACGCGGATACGGACGAACGGATGGATGGCGGACGGACGGACGGATGAGTGGCGGACGGACGGACGGACGGATGGCTTCCAAAAAACGTTTTTCAGCCTTTTTTAAGTCATATCCGCGTTTTATCGCGGATATGGTCCAAAAAACGTTTTTCAGCCCTTTTTAAGTCATATCCGCGTTTTATCCAAAAGGATAAAACGCGGATATGGTCTGTTAACGAACGATATTTTTATATGAAGTACTTGTTATCATGACCGCTGAAATAGTCGCGCGGGCGACAAAACGTTGTTTGAACGTTCTAGTTTATATTTTTTCGACCACAAAAAGTGTGACAATATTTAGGCTATTTTTGTGTTTAAAGACTCGGAATAAAGTGGCGAATTATCTCGTGTAGACATTTTCTAGACAGTTCAATTAATCGGGAACATGGTCCAAAAAACGTTTTTCAACCCTTTTTAAGTCATATCCGCGTTTTATCCAAAAGGATAAAACGCGGATATGGTCCAGAAAACGTTTTTCAGCTTTTGTTGAGTCATATCCGCGTTTTATCCTTTTGGATAAAACGCGGATATGGTCCAAAAAACGTTTTTCAGCCCTTTTAAGTCACATCCGCGTTTTATCCAAAAGGATAAAACGCGGATATAGTCAAAGAACGTTTTATAAGGGCATATCTATATGTATAAAGAATATTGAATATTGTCCTAGAATTTGAACAAATAAAAACCAATGTCTCTTCGCTTAAATGACTTACTGCGAGATAAGAGTTCTAAAATTACAATTTAGTGTTAATAAAGTTTTAATTTAGTGTCAGTTATTTGGTATGTATAGTACTCCAATTTTATGCCAACGTAATGTGCTGTTTTTCAAAGCCTTTGATGTCAATGCAGTTATCGGTTTAAATATACCTACAATCCGAAGATATGACGGCAATTGCCGTCAACGGCCTACTTTCTATACGTATAAACGCAAATTACAATTGCAACGTTCATGCTTAATTTTCTCTGTTATCTGGGCATGTATATATAGTAATGTAATTTTATGCCAATGCAATGTGCTATTTTTTAAGGGCTTTTCAATGCAGTTATCGGTTTATAGTGATTAGTACTATTCTACAAGGAAATACTCTTGGATAATGTAATATAAATACATAGGAAAACAAAGAAGTGGCATTTATCGGGCAGAGAAGCGGCGAGCCATTAAAATGGCGGCAATTTGACGAAATATCGAAGGACACAATATCGAAGATAAAGTACACTGCACTGTTACAAAAGTGGATGAAACCTTCTTTGAAATCTTCTTCAGCCATTTATAATTATGTAAAAGTACAATAACTGGATGATATTTGCGAGATTCGGCGATAAAAAGCAAACAAGACGGCAAAATATGGCTGAAATCGTGTTTTCGTGGGGGGTAAGTGAAATAAAATGTATTATTTTTTAAGAAAACAATGACAATCCTTATGAAATCAACAATATTTATATTAAATTAAGCATACTTTTTCACCTCATAATATTTTTTTTCAGGAAATAAGAATATTTAATTTCTGCCAGGCATATTAGTTATTTTGTGCATAATCAGCAATTTACCTGGGGTGGTGCATAGTCATTTTCTGGTAAAATATTATACTTCGACAAATTTTTCCTTCCAATGACCACCCCTAAAAGCAACCCTTCTAAACACTATAAGCACTTCAGAAAGGCTATCGCTTTTCCTTTTTGGAAGTTAGAGCTATGTCGACACAGCCGTTTCAGGGCGGGGTCATTTTCAGGACTTTCGTCCCGGATTCAGGTTTTCGCACATATGCCATGTTGACCGCCATGGTCATTTTACCCTAAAACAGTTGAGATTACCTGTCTTAAATGAATCGCATACAAACTCATATACAGGTCCTAGATTATTTGCTCCAATTGGATTTGCTACATAACATGCACTGAACCGAAGATAAGAACCTGCAAAATACAAGGTCGGTTTCAACCTGGTTTATATTTCAACGCCAAACGTAAGGGAGTTAATTTTCTCCGTTATCCGGCCGTGTTGCCAAAGTGGCATAAAAGTGTATACGACCGGATAACAGAAAATTAATCATGAAAGTGGCAATTATAATTCGCGGTTTTCGTAAAAGTAGGCCGTACGGCAATTGTCATATCTTAACGGGAATTTGAGGTATATTTAAACCGATAACTGCATTGAAAAGCCCTTGAAAAATATCACGTTGCTTTGGCATAAAATTACATTACTACATGCCCAGATAACAGAGAAAATTAAGCATGAAAGTGGCAATTGTAATCATGAGCGTACCGGGCGGGGGGGCGGCAGCCCCCCCCCCCCCAGTTTGTTGGGCAGTCGGGCAATATTCGCTGAACAGTCGGGCAATTTTGGTGTATTAAAAAAAGAAATGAGACAAATTCTGTAAATTTTGTGGTCAATTTTGTGATGTTTCCAAAAATTTGTTAGGTTCCGGAAAATATTGGTATATCCGGAAAAAGTTTTGACCCCTAAAATGGTACACTGACCGAAATTTTTTTGGCGACGGGGGAGGGGGGGAAGGTCGGGGGGGGGAAGGTCGCCAAAATAAATTCCGGAAAAATTTTTTTAGTCTGGCAAAATCCGAAAAAGTCGGGCAAATTTCTATCCGCCCCCCTAAATTTTTCTTTCCGGTACGCCCATGATTGTAATTCGCGTTTGCGTAAAAGTAGGCCGTACGGCAATTGTCATATCTTAACGGGAATTTTAGGTATATTTAAACCAATAACTGCATTGAAAAGCCCTAGCGAAATAGCACATTGCATTGACATAAAATTACATTACTACATGCCCAGATAACAGAGAAAATTAAGCATGAACGTTGCAATTGTAATTTGCGTTTACGTAAAAGTAGGCCGTACGGCAATTGTCATATCTTCGGCCGAATTGTCATATCAACCGACAACCGCATTGACATCAAAGGCTTTGAAAAACAGCACATTACGTTGGCATAAAATTGGAGTACTACATAGCAGATAACTGACACTAAATTAAAACTTTATTAACACTAAATTGTAATTTTAGAACTCTTATCTCGCAATAAGTATTTAAGCGAAGAGACATTGGTTTTTATTTGTTCAAATTCTAGGACAATATTCAATATTCTTTACACATATAGATATGCCCTTATAGAACGTTCTTTTGACCATATCCGCGTTTTATCTTTTTGGATAAAACGCGGATATGACTTAAAAAAGGCTGAAAGACGTTTTCTGGACCATATCCGCGTTTTATCCTTTTGGATAAAGGATAATATAAATATATATATATATTATAAATATATATATATATATATATATATATATATATATATACCAAATATGTATTTAGAATCATATATGAGTAGAGTGCTCGATATACCGAAGTATAGAGCTAATATAGATAAAGATAAAATAAACCTGGTTTACTTCATAAGATTTATTCACTACAAACTTGTTTCGTATGACAAGCAATGCTTGCCACACTCATCAGGTGAATTGTCATACGAAACAAGTTTGTAGTGAATAAATCTTATGAAGTAAACCAGGTTTATTTTATCTTTATGATTATATATATATATATATATATATATATATATATATATATATATATATATATATATATATATATATATATATATATATATATATATATATATATATATATACATATATATATATATACATACATATATATATATACATACATACATACATATATACATAGGCTATATATATATACGGTATAAACCAGAGGCAGAGAAATTTAAAGTGGCACTCGCGTCAAAATTTTTATTTACTTATTTTCTTAAAATGCTCTTAAAACTGTACAGTAACTTGTTTTGAAGATTTTTTGTTTCCATGCTTAGTTCTTGAGATATTTTATCCTGTTTGTAACCATGTGACGTCAATGACTCAATTACATATATAATGAGATATCAGTAATTGTTGTGTATCTTTGCTATTTTTGATCAAATCTTTTCAAAGATGCAGCGACGCGTTTCTTAATTTAACCTACATAATAAGCATACTGTTTTTTTTTAAACAAATCCATCAAAAACAGCAAAGTACACAACAATTACTGATGTCTCATTATATATGTAATTGAGTCATTGACGTCATATAGTTACAAACAAAATGGAATATCTCAAGAATTAAGCATGAGAACAAAAATCTTCAAAACAAGTTATTATACAGTTTTAAGAGCATTTTAAGAAAATAAGAAAATACGAAAAAAAAATTTTGACGCGAGTGCCATTTTAAGTTTTTTTGCCCGCAAATTAAGCATTGGTGGGTAATATCGCAAAACATTGGGGGGTATTGCGTGCGGGGGCACGTAATATGATATAAATTGTATGGTCAAACAGTAACACAAGATTAAAAACTCCGGCTATCAAGTATCAACTATACGATTTTTCAGACACATTAATCAAAACAGGAACCAACAGACTTGGTTCACACATCAGTCAGTCAAAAACAAATACAAATATAAAAAATCGAGCAAAGCTTAACACACAATGATCACATTATAAAACGTTTGTAACAAGGGTTCATAGTCATTGTTCCATTATATTGAAAAGCGCCATTCCTTATTAAGCCGGATAGACGCACCAGGATCAAGTTACACGTTGTTACTGTTTCACTTTTAAAGTTCGTCCAATTTTATCAACCTTCTAACTTCTAAGCGTTTTGAAAGAAAGCCAGAAAGTAGTAATAACATTTTGTCGTATTAATATTTGTAAACCATAATGCATGATCATTTTTAATAACAACTAGTTTAGTTAGTACACCATAAGCAGCCGGGGGCAGTTTTAGTGTAAACTATTTCTAGTTTTAATATTTGCCTGACTTAAACAGCTAAGACACGAGGGGTGTAAGTGAATCTTGTCTACGACAACAAGTGGGAGATCGTCGTGCGAAGTGAAAGATGACAAGAGCAAGACCAACAACACAAAGAATACCAACGACGACAAAGACTACAATCAGCCATGTAGGTACACCGCTCTCGCATGACTTGGCACATTCTCCGCCGCCAGTACAGCATTCTCCCGGTGGACCGCAATCGCTGTCGAAGTTACACGTTTTACCAACACAGCTTTTAGCACATATTTGTGGATCGAAACCCGTTTGCTGACAACAGTATGTGCCAGGGACGCATTTTAACCCATCATCACACGCTTTCAAACATTTCCGCTTTGTTGTACATCTCTTGTCTACTGTATTACAACATTCACCGCCTATTCCGCCGCATTCAGCGTCATCTTCACATGTTCGATCAGCACACGTTGGTAAGCATACGAAAGGGGAGTACCAGGCGCTGTTTTCCTTGCAACAGAATGATGCATTTGGTTGCGTACAATTCAATCGTGAACGACACTTGGTTGCTGCTTCTTCTTTTGGGATGAACAAAGCGAAAACAATTACTGAACCAAATAATAAAAAGCGATACATTTTTCTCTGCTCTGTCGCGGTTAATTTCCCGCTGTATAGGCCTGTTCTGATAGCTCTGGCTTCTGATCGAGAAGATAAATTTTCTCGACCCTCATCCGGCGAAAGTTTTAGATATACTGTTGTAAAACAATACCACAAATCACATTGTGGCACAAATGCATTGATGTAAATAGCCTGTGATGCATTGTGGGCATTTGTTCTGATTGGTCACGACTGAACTGAATGGATTTTGATTGGCTGGACTTTTAGTGCAACCCAAATGCTGCAATCCGAGGTTGACCTGTAGGGGGTAACACGTGTACTTGAGGGCAACTTTTCGGACAAACAAACAATAAGCTAGATAGCTAGTATCGGTATGCACTAGGAATTGATGTTGTCTCGCAAAGATTTAAACGAAATTTGGACACAATTTGGAAACAGCACAAATTGTGGTAAGGAGTTTTAATGTATCGACATGGATATCGCTTGGAAGACGCGAAAATTTGAAGAAAATGTCGCTGTTCGACTTAAGAATACTGCTTATAAATACAATGATTTGGTTAATTAA